CATCATCACGGAGTACCGCAAGGCTCTATGTTTGGTCCGATTTTGTTTCTCTTTTGGACTGTAGACAAGTGTTTTGAGATCTATCAAGTAATGCATTTATGTATCGCAAACTATTCTCATCATCACGGAGTACCGCAAGGCTCTACGTTTGGTCCGATATTGTTTCTCTTTTGGACTTTGGACAAATGTTTTGAGATCTATCAAGTAATGCATTTATGAATCAAACTATTCTCATCACGGAATACCACAAGGCTCTACGTTTGGTCCGATATTGTTTTTCTTTTGGACTTTAGCCAATGTGTTTTTAGATCTATCAATCAATGCGTCTTATCTCTAACTATTGTCATCATCATGGTATGGTGAATTTACACAGTTTTTAGTCAGGAAAGTAAAAATTAACTGAACGTTATTAGGAACACTTATAACGATAGAACCGCACACACGAATCCTAAGTTTCAAATGATTGGAAACTAGTATAAAAAATGCCGTGTTTACAACTTAATTGCTAGTAGAGTAAAATTCTAAAGTGTTATTCAATTGATCGAATTGCATATAATGAATGAAGATCCCTCCTGACCTATTTTACGAAAAAATAGTATATTTCATCACTAGGGCGTAAGGTGACTATTTTCGACCCCTATAAAATGAGAAAATGATTTTTTAAATGGGAAATGAGCGAGGGTTGAAAGGTAATTTTTTGCCCGTAGGATGAACTATATTTTTCATCATTTGCAACATTATTTAACAAACTAAGTTAGAAAACGAAAATAGTTTATGTAAAGATAACCTCACAAAACTATTTCGAGTTTTTTTTTCAATATTGCTGAAAATAAGCTGTTCTGTGGTTCGATCATGTAGTCCATTTCGATTGTCTTACTGTACATTATATCGATATGTCGAACTATTGACAACAATGCAACAATAAGCTACAGCCGATTAAGTTAATCGATAAATAATTTCAATACATGTGATTGCTTACAATCAAAATTTACAACAGCTGATTTTTACTCCTTAACACCCTAGGGACTAAAAATGGCCATTTATTCCCTAGAGAATAAAATAACTAGAGAGTAAAGAACAGGTCGATGAAGTAAGAATTATTCTTGTAACCATTGTTGTGCAGTCGATCTTGGCAGACAGGTTGAATGACCTGTGATGGTAAAGTCATTAAGAAGCTGTAAACATAGTTACTTGTACACACAGGGCCACAACCGAATAGCTGCTAGTAAGACTGGCGATTATTTTAGTCATGGGAATCCAGAAACATTACAATCCAGAAAGTTACAATTAAATCCCTCCCAAGATATTTTCCATAATTCATAGTAAAATTTACTTGGATTCTGAACCACCGGGACTTAGGATGTTTGAAATTATGTTTGCAGATCAATGATTCAAGTTGTAATCAATCTAATTTTGATTATTCAATCATATCAAATCATATCGTGGGTGAGTGGTTGTAGCACTCGTAACAATCAGGTTGAAGGTTCGATCCTGAGTCAACAGCTTTTTTAAAATTTGACACTGGGCCCAGCTGCTCTTGATCATACGGGGGTTTTTAAATCAATTGTTGTGGCTAAATAAACAGCTGATCTTATAAGTTATCTCATAGTTCAGGATCTTATAGTTAGTAATAAATGAAAACTAAACATATCTCCCTTAATTCAACATTTGCATTGCTTTCACTTTCAACCAAAAATGCGCATACAGTAATGGTTATGTTGGTTGCGTTGATAAAGTGTTCTACAAATAATTAAAAGTCCAATTTGTAGAAACAGATAACATATTTTTAAGGTTTCAACAAGTTAAAAAAATAAAATTATTTACACAATAAAGATTATCATCCAATAGTCCAAGTATCCAATAGTCAATGCTACTACGGTGGAACCCCGATAACAAGTCACTCTTGATAAGTGTAATTTTCAAATCCCCTAGAATTTGCTTCACTCCTATTGCAAATCTTGATAAGAAGGTAACCTTGAGATCGCGTCTTTTTTAATAATCCCCATGAGAGTTTTATCAATGTTGTACTGTATTTTGTTTACAAAGATCGCGAATTGTCGATCTATAGATAATCCGAGCTTTGGCTACCCATGAGCCGGATATGGTAAAGGATTACATTAGCATAAATATGGAGCCAGGGTGGTAAACAAATTAGTCTAACGACCATCGTTAGAAAGAGAATACAACTTGCAAAAACCCGGAGTTCAGGGACTGCCTTGGTTATCAATCAAGTCCTATCAGGTCCAGCTTGAACACTTTCACTTGCTTTGCGGAGAAGAAACACACAGTCAATTTGTTCGACTTCAAAAAAGAAGGTGGAAGATTTGTTTGTCCAAGGAGACTAGGTACAGCCGGGAATTGTATTTTCACATTACAAGGCTAGACCTAGGGGTTGTAGCTTTACCACGTGGATAAAATCCATTGGTGATTGGCAGGATTTGAACCCGGGACCTCAGGGACCGAAGTTCCACGCTCTACTAGACCAGCTTGCTCCCCAAAGCTGGTTGGGGCCCAGGGGGGAGGTATACATACATATATATTGTCCTAAGACGCTAGGAACGAGCCCGGGATTGTTTTTTACATTACTTCAGGCTAGACCTAAGGGATACGGCATTATCACGTAGATAAAATCCATTGGTGATTGGCAGGATTTGAACCCGGCACCTCCGGGACCAAAGTCCCGCGCTCTACTAGACAAGCTTGCTCCCCAAAGCTGGGGCACAGGGGGAGGTATATTTATATGTAAATTTTTTTGTCCTAAGACGCTAAGCACGAGCCCGGGATTGTTTTTTACATTACTTCAGGCTAGACCTAGGGGATACGGTATTATCACTTGGATAAAATCAATTGGGGATTTGGCAGGATTTGAACCCGGGACCCCAGGGACCGAAGTCACGCACTCCACTAGATAAGCTCGCTCCCCAAAGCGGGGCCCCAAGGAGGAAGGTACTAGTGAAATACAAATTGTACAGTCGAATGGTCGTGAGGATTTCGCATTTCGTTCTTATCAATTCTTAACTCCGCTTTCACTCACATTTTTCTTGATTTGGGAGAAACATGTTCCGAATTGTCGATGTGCTCGATATCATCAGGAAAGGACAAGGTATCTTTAAATTAAGTGAGTTATCTTTAAACGGTAATCAGTAATTTTTTAACGAGCCCTTGCATACCAAAATCCATGATAATCTTTGTTAAATTAGATTTTAAAAACGATCGTCATGCACTTACAGATAATTATCCTTAAAGTACCCAATAGCAAACTATTAAAAATTGTACAAGAATGAAATTACTTCAAAATCTATTAGATCAAAACTCCAGTACGATACATCGTTCATATCTCTAACCGTAGCAGGTTTTAGAGTTTTGAGGAATTTTTTTCTTTTAACGTGTTTTGAGTTTGTCATCGACGTTTTGTGCCAGTACGATACATCGTTCATATCTCTAACCGTAGCAGGTTTTAGAGTTTTGAGGAATTTTTTTCTTTTAACGTGTTTTGAGTTTGTCATCGACGTTTTGTGCCAGTACGATACATCGTTCATATCTCTAACCGTAGCAGGTTTTAGAGTTTTGAGGAATTTTTTTCTTTTAACGTGTTTTGAGTTTGTCATCGACGTTTTGTGAATTTCAAACATCACTGGACAAACTTCTAAAGTCAACATATTTCTTATATGATACAAACTTCTCTTATTTTTCCCAATTTTCCTATAGTAAAAATGTCTAACTACCATAGTTTTTTACTTTCACCTACTAATGTTTCGTTGTTTTAATGTTAAACAAACCACTGGAGCTGAACTAGAATTGAACATTTACTTGCTCACTTCTGTTAAATACTTATAAATGTCAATTTAGTAGAATTTATCGAAGGTCAGAGATAACCCCATGTGGAAACATAACAAGGAGATAACAACTGATTTATTGTGGGTTTTTGTAAAGATTATCTATTTCAAGATATACTTTATATCTTATTTAGTTTATTATCATGATGCAAGATCATCTCGTTGATTAAATCTGTTTTTGTTTCATTTACGGATTTGAAAACAAATTTTGGGAATGTTGTAGATATAACGTTTCAGTTCAGATTTTCGGTTCAGGAGAGAGTAGGTCCATGATTAAAATTTTACTAGAAATAAAAGAAAACAAAGATTTTCCAATCATCTGCAATAGCATCTACAGTGTGATATGGTACTTTCACAGAAAAATATCGCTGTGTAGTTTAGAGATAATTCCTAGCTCTATTCCCTTAGTAAAATGAGGTAGTTCTAATTTTCTCAGAAAGATCTTTGAATTTCTCAAACAATAGATGGTAAACAATAGATTAGTTTTGTCTCCTCTCTTGTGTTTTATTATAAAAGTTGATTTATTCTAAACTCTTTTTATTTGCTTTTTTCACTATACTGTATTTAAAGTTATCTCGATGTAACGTCGCCAGCATAGATTAGTTTACAATAGCAACAGGGCTGTCTAAAAACATTCTGATAATTTGTTTTCTTTTTTGCGACGTTATTTATCATAAATCTTTATTTATCAAAGTGACAGTGTAGGCCTACACCTAGTTATCATTTTCACCTATCTAGCAACGTTATATCCTTTTCTTTTGTTATGTGTATTTTATCTCGTTCCTCTATCTTTGAGCAGTTTTTTTATTCATCTCTACAAACTGTGTATTTTTCCATTCTCACTTTATAGATTAGATTGCAATAGCGTTTATCTTTTTTTTTAAATCACGGATTATTTAAAATATTATTCTTTCTGCGAAACTTGTTTTGTGATGTTTTTTATCTTTATTTTTTATCTAGATAGTGAACACCTGTGCGTTCGCTTTTTAACTCAATTGTCGATAGCAATACAACTTTATCTTTTTTTAAATCATGGATTATTTAAAATATTATTCTTTCTGCGAAATTTGTTTTTTGAGGATTTTTATCTCTATTTTTTTATCAAGATAGTGAACACCTGCACGATAGTCTCTCTCGCTTCTTAACACAATTTAATTTTTCCAGAGCTGGACATGACCGGAAGCGCCGCGGTGGGGGAAGACCTGGCGGCGCGGGACGAGGACCGAGCTGCAGCCGACACTATAGACCAGCTGAACAGCCATCGCAGTCCCGACAGCGCATGCGCAGAGGACAGCCAACCAGCGCCGGTGTACACTCACAGCAGACCTGCCAGCGCGGGCGGTGAATACGTCCAGGACTACCGCGATGACGTTTGTGACCTCCGCGTAACCGACGAGGGAATGCACCGTGCAGCCTACCGCGAGGACGACATGATCTACCGCCAGTACCACCCTCAATACGACATGTTCCCCCATGAGTACCACCAGAACATGCAGCAGTACGAGATGAAGAAGGACGAGAACGAGGACCACTACGAGGACATACTCGAGTTGGGGGATAAACGAAGAAAATTGGACGTTTGTAGCAATACGTCGGGTAGATCTTCCGAACTGGACCACACCACCCCGCCTGTGTTAGAGTACCCGGACAACAAAGAGGGATTGTTGGACTTGCATCTGCCTCACAGAGAGATGCCGAGTAATAGCTTTGTACATTTGACCGCCGCGCTGCACTCGCCGAGCTCCACCGGGGATGCTGAGGAAGCTGGTGAGATCTACCAAGGAGGTGACGCGCTGCATAGATTACAACCCTACCCGCATCAGCACGAGGTTATCCAGCACTCCAACAACTACCAGCAATCGTGAGTAAATGTTTACTTTGATAAGGGTGTGATTAGATGTATCATAGTGTCGATAATCTTTATCTCTACTAATTCGCGTTAGGATATAGTTATATACCGTAACCGTAGTAAATGCCATAACAAAGGTTTACTAACAATAATCTGTATGGTGCTATAGGGACGAATTAGCGGTTTATACAGGGTATGTTTATAGGCTCTATAGTGGTTAGAGGTTTTATACAAGTTCACTGTTTGGGGATAACCAAGCTTATGTGTTGGCAGTACTGCTTCCTTACTAAATTTCTGACCAGCTGATATGCGTTTTAGCATTGTTGTATAAACAGTGTGTTATTGGGGATTGATTGTGGATAATAGTCAGCGTGGTGTTTTCACAAGTTTAGGGAATATGTATTGTAGAAGAATGCATTAACAGATACAACGTAACACCATAATAGGCAACTTCTGACAGATCGGGCATTAAATTTAAATTATTGCTATTTTATTTTGTTTGATTCTAAGCCTTGGATTATGAAGAAGTAAATGAAGAAGCAACCTGTATAGGGGTAGGTTTTTAGAGAGTTTCTAGGGTTGATTTTTTTCCATGATTAAGACCATAGACGTAGTTTTGTTACTGTAGTCGAATGGCAAAAAGTTATTCCCTTTCAGTTTTTACTCGTTGTAGAATAAGTGACTATGGACTTAGTTTCACTTCACTTAGTTGTAAACTGCTGCCGATATCATGTCTTAGTATAGTAACATAAAGTATTAACAACCTCAAGAAAGAGCGGCGTTCTACGTATTTTTTTGGCTCTAATTTTAGACAGGGACTGAAATAAACTGACTCATAATTTGAGAAACATTTCATAACTTTACCAGCTATATTGCGGATGAGCTTTTTTTTGTTTTGTTTTTCAATCAAGGGATTTTTACGCATGTAACCTTTGACATTTCCACACGATTAAATAAACGTAGTGTTAGGCCTGGCGCACACGGTCGATTTTTCGATCGGCCGATTAAAAAATCGGCCAAAAATAAATCGCCTTTGATTTATGTCTAGGCGCACACGTGGCGATTTTTTAGTCGAGAAATGGATTTTTTGAGTGCGTTAAAATGGACTTTGTTGAATTAACCTGTGTTTGTGCTCTTCTAACTAGACCAAAGAAAAAAAGAAGACAACTTAAATATTGGGTTCATCCGATAGTAAGTCAGATACTTTTAAATCGACAGTTTTAGAAACTATAGGTACACTTTACGTGATGACAGTAAAAAGTTATTTGATTACTATAGAATGTCTGTTGAAAGTTTCAGTTGTTATTATAACAGCTGTGGCCTTTTTTAGCAAAGAAAACAACACAACTCACACTGAAGTTCACTGACTCCTGTGGAGAACAACAAGCGACTGGCCGATTTTTTAGTCGACCGTGTGCGCGGACTGATAACAACCTGTACGTTACAGATTTTCGGGCGACAATCGCCTCGCCTACGAATCTGTGGCAAAACCCAGATTTTAAAATCGGCGCAATTCTCGATCGCCTGTGTGCGCGCTTCCATTCAAATACATGATGCACAGATCGGCCGATGAAATAGTCGCCTCAAAATAATCGCTCGTGTGCGCCTAGCCTAGGCTTATCTTATTGATAACACGTGCTAACAACTAGGTTAAGCTAAGAATTTTCCATTGATGACATTAGAAAAACTTAATAGTCTACAGTACTACGGTAAGAAACCTTAACATTTAATTTTAATTCCAACCTAAAGAGCTTACACAATACGTTGTTTCCAAAATATCCTTAAATCTATGTTTGCGCACGACCACACTTTCTTATCAGTTTACGTCTTTCTAGATTTACGTCAATCGACTTCCGGAACGCGGGCGAATTGACGCAATAAGTATGACCCATCACTTAGCTATGGACCCAGGGATAGAGCAAAATGAAGTCACTGAAATGGTTTGAACTGATGGATTGAAACTTGAACTGTAAAAACGTCCAAACCAGATGTTCAGGTTAAAATTGACTCGGGCCAATGACGTCATTTGTTTATGTTAATGATCCATTCAGTTTGTGTTCTGGGATTAATGTGGGAAACTATATCGCATCGCTTTTTCAGGTTCTAGATGTAAATTAATTAATTTGTACGTAGCTACCTAAATTAATTAATACATCCTAAATTTTATTTTTTAAATATTAAATAACGATGGTGAATATCCCTCCAGTCATTAGCTGTGTGGTTCATGGTCTGAAAATCTGCCCATTGGCTACATAAATCGTAAGGACGCTGAACACTGATTTAAAAACAAATCTTTTAACACCATGAATATTCCAAGCTTTTCTCCATTCAATGCTTTACTTACTCTTCCCTTTATAACAAAAATCCTTGTTTGCTATTGTAATATAGGTATACACACACCTTTGTTGTTATTACAGGCTGAACGACCAAACGGAATTTCTTACGTTAAATGTTAAACAGTTTTATAAAAAATGAGGTTAAATTAAGTGATTAATTCAGCGCCCTCATTACAATCACCACCATTACAGAAACATGCGTGCGTACTAAAATTGCCTGTGAATAATTTCAGGCGCTACATAAATACAGGTAATTGATTTGAATTTCGGAATACGTCTGCTGTATTATTGTTTGGTGATATGCACGTTATCCTAGAATTTTATATTTTTACATGCATTTCATACGTTTTGTGTTCCTTTTTGGCTTTGGCAACTGAGTTAAGCTGGTAGGTTATCTTCAAAGTTATTGTTATAAACATTACCAAAAATATTTACATTGGCTGTTGCTGTAATTATTACCATTGTTACAACAGCTGTTACACATCTTGAAGATTGCACTTCTGCTTCTACGGTATTGCACGGTTGGCCCGTAGATTGATAAGAATTGTTTCTATGTTACAAATTACATTAGAGGTATAATTACAATTAATAATACAGTAATTGTCTGGTTAACAGTGAGGTTACAGTGTTCACCTTCAAAACCGAACGTCGCACGTTCGATTCCATGAGATCAGCAATTTGCTAATAGGAAAATGGGCAATTAATATAGATAGTAAAAAGACCACGGTTTGGTCCCTTACAACAGTAAAAGATGCCACTAGTGTAAATACACACGAATACATAGCTGCTCAATTTACTAATCGTGATATCTAAAGCTACTATAAGCGGCTAGCATCGTAGCTCAATTAAGGAAGTAAGAGGACGCCTTATCAAGGTCGTTATATTTATATCACAACCTATTTAATAATCCGCACCTCATTAGGCCAGTAACATGCAAATGTGATGAATGAGATCCATAAAATGATTACTTACACACATGATTACTTTCGGGTCAGTGACGTCATTTGTTTATGTTTAAAATCCATACCGTTTTTGTTCTAATATCCATGATGTATACTAATTGTAATGCATACATCTATTAAAATAGTCGATTTACCATAGAATTCAGTATTGTCAGTTGTACACCATTCGGTTGTTTTGGAACAAAGTAAATTAGATATTTGACTACACTGTTGTGTGATTATTCAATCTTTTGTTAGGGTTATACAATTTTAAATAACTATTAAAAAAATACATCGACAGGGTGTGGTTCTGTAAAGTAGTTTTTTAAAAGTATTCACAGAATTTAACACATGCAGAAGTAAACTTCACATGTTGTCCAAAGTCAAAATTGTACTATTAAGAAGCTTCCCTGATATATGACGACAATTAATTTATAATTGTTTATAAGTTTCACAAACGCGTTGTAATAGAAAACCATTAAATCCAACTTGAACACGTGGTAAGCCTAATTGTAATATTTTTTCTAGACGAGTGATAGTTTTTCACATAAGATCAGGCTATGCATACGTGGGTTGGGTCATTATCACTTAGATAATAAGTGCATAAGTGATTGGCTGTATTTGAACCCGCGACCTCAGGTACTAAATGTCCGCGCTTTACCACTAGACCACCACGCTCCCCAATGTAATACAATACACCACGAAAACTAATTACTTCCCATTAACACAAAATATATCAATGTTATTTGTTGCATTCAGAATTTACCAATTTACCTTAATCTGTCTGCAGTCATAACTAAGATAACTATATTTACAAACACGGACAAGGTTGCGGTTATCATAATGTTATCATTGTAGGTTCTACTGTGTTTATCGTATGTTTAGTGTTTTGGATTGATAATTCCAGCGACCTTGTACATTGTTGCAGATACCTTATCAATCTCTTCTAATCTTTTCATCCAGCAATTCCTTGTTCAAGAATGTTTTGAACTTAACAATTAGTTGCTTTGACCCTGGAAATTGTATTCTCTAAAGCTATTAAAAACCTTACTATGCTATTTTATATTATTATTTTTTGACATTATTGGCATTATTTTTTAGCAGTTAGAATAAATTTGTTTATAACAATTCCTTAAAATATTGAAACGTAGTAAAGATAATTAAATTAAATATTAACATCTTACCCTTTGGAACCCGCCCAATATAATTATGATTTTAAACTCCCTCAGGTTAACCACGAAAAAAAACCGAACAAATATTTCTGACGAAATAAATCTAAAATCCATGATAAGGTGTGTAGTTCATGTGTACAATAATTTGTAATTGAAAGATCTTACTGTAAATTCAAACAATTTCCTATGACTATTGTACCTTGGTTACTAAAAATATATTTTTTATAAGCTGTGAGTTTAAAAGTATAATTTCTAAATCTTGGGGATTAGTAATTTTATAAATTCACATAGATTACCTATGTCGGCTAACAACTGAAAGAGTTCTTGGAGAATCCAGACTAAATTAATTTAAATACCAGACTAATTTAAATTTCCAGCTAAATTAAAATGTTAATTGCCGAACAAGAGAAAACTATGTTGAGCAAGATAAACAAACACGCTCAGACACTAACTAAAGATATGTGATAATCTGGACAATTAGACTAACAATTAATACTGTGATAGTGATGCTTCCGTCGTTTAATTGGGAAGATTAAAAATCAGAGAAACCCAAAATTACTTAA